TCCAGGGATCTTCCCAATCCAGGGACTGAACTCAGCTCTCCTGCACTGCAGGAGGATTCCTTACCAGCTGAGTCACTAGGGAAGACCCCATTTTGGAGACTAAAAAATTAAGGAGTCAGGCAATGTCTTCCTACTGAAAACATTTACGATCTTCATTTCCCAAGATTCTTGTTTTCATGTTTTATGCACACACTTAATCCCAATGGGATGAGCAAGAAAGCTGTCTTTTACATAGTGTCAGAATCCTCTCTGGTCCTAAGTCCTCTTTGGTGGAGGACTTAGGTCAAGAAGATAGTAAAGTTCTACAGAGAACCAAGTTCGCTCATGCTGAAAAACAAATTATTTCTACCATTTTCCGAGGTCTTATCTTGTGTCCTTATCTCCTCTTTGGAGGAGTTGTTCTTTTAAAATAAGTAATCTTTAAAAGTATACTTTCTCATATTTCTACACATATCTTCCCTCACCAATTATTTTAAAAAACTGTCTTAAATGATATAATGCGGAGCCAATGCTAATAATTTTTTTATGGATTCCAGTGGTCATTTCAACCACATATACTATATATGAAGTTATACAGCACTGTATGCTATCATTTTACAGATGAGGCAACTGTGGCCTAGGGTATTTTTGTATCTCACTCAAAAGTCACTGAGCTTGTGAGTGATGGTGCCAGATTTTGAACCCTGCAGCCCAGGTCCTGAGTGCCTGCTTGAAGCAAATGGCCCCATTTCTAGCCTAAGCCTTGCTCTTAATTTTAGGCAACCCAAAACATGAATTTTCAGAGAACATATCATCAGGATGTAGATGTTTAAGTTGTTGGAATTTCCTTCTATTTGGTGGTTCTTCAGAGAGGCATATTCAGATGTCTAGAAGTCAACTGGTTTTGAAACAAGAACAAACCCCTTGATATCCATATGGAGATTTGCATCCTGCCTACACTTTAAATTAACCTTATTGATGGATTTCCTGCCAAGCTTAGTTTCATTTATTATGCATGTTCCTTTTAGTAGGTGGAAGAAAAAAAAACATGTGCAAATTATCCTCTAAATAAAGCAATATATAAACCAGGCTTATAAATTTTCTGAAGTTTATTTTTATTTGCCTAGCTCTTCTGTACTTTTTGGGAGATAAATGTTTATTTAATAAAAGGAAAAGTGATATCTTGAAATAAGGATATCTTAGTAGTAAACAACCAGGAGTGGATTTTTTTTTCATTCATCATTGTCAGCTGAAGACATTCTCAGTTGGCAGCTAGGGGTGAAATTTATGGTGTCAAGATGGGTGAGCCATTTCACTGTTTCTTTCTGAGCTTAAAGAAATTTCAGCCTGAAATTCCACCCTTTCTGGACTGTAAAATGTGACAACAGATACATGTATTGGAGTTGGACCTAAGACTTACTGCAGGACTGCAAGTCAGAATCAGGATTCCCTAGAGGGAATGATGTGGGGAATGAGTACTCATGGGGTGTTTATATTGGGATGAAAAAATATTATTCAAGGAAGGGGGAATAAGGGAAAGTGCCTTCTTTTATGTTTTCTTAATATTACCCAAGAGAGTCAGACAACGCAGTCTGTCTGGAATACTCTTGGCTTTTGATGATCTGGGGGAAAGTATTGAAAAAAGAAACTTGGGTCAGTGGTACCCATAAAAGACTACTTTATACCTGTCCTATTTAACGAAGCTGGAGCTGCGGGGAAGGAGACTGGTTCCCAAACAATTCATAGCTCAGTGACTGCTGTAAGTAGCTTGGAGTTCTAGAACTTTCTGTCTGACAAAAAATAATGACTCAGTTAATCAGTAACATATGTGGGCTTGTTCAGAGAATTTCTGACGGAATCTATGACTGCAACCGTTTCAGACCTCGTGCTCCCTTTTATAACAAGTATTTGAATGCCCTTTTTGTTATCTTGAAGTGAAATTTATGTATCACACATTAAAAAAAATAAAACACCTTGTTATAAAAAGAGAACCAAAGGGAAGGGAATCTGCAATACGACTTGTCTCTCAATTTGCAAATACTCAGACAAACCGACTGATGAAAGATAATTTAAAAAACAAACAGGTAAAATCATGACCCTCACTGAGATATAAAATGTATTTATGGCAATTACCTCATAACAAGGAACCAGGCAAATGTTATAACCCATTCAAAAGAGAAGCCAAAAAAATGGATACATTTATAAATTAGGAATATTGAAATGATATATAAATGAAGGCAAAGCTAGTTTCTTCAGCAGTGGAAAAGAGAGGATAATTGAACCTCTACCAGAAAGGAGAGAACTCAGATGTCTATAGACAAATATTATCTCACATTGTTATCACTTATCTACAGTTTACAGAGTTGTAGAATCATTCCCACAGAATCAGATAACCCAAAGGGGTGTGCTGTACACTTTTAACTGAAGTACAAATTTTTCTCTGCCTGCCTGCTAAGTTACTTCAGTTGTGTCTGAGTCTGTTTGTGAACCTATGCACTGCAGCCCGCCAGGCTCCTCTGTCCACGGGATTCTCCAGGCAAGAATCCTGGAGTGAGTTGCTGTGCCTTCTTTCAGGGAACATTCCAGACCCAGAAATTGAACCCATGTCTCTTCTGTCTCCCACATTAGCAGGTGGGTTCTTCACCACTAGCACCACCTAAGGAAACCCAAACTTTTCTGTGCAGCATCGTTAGTTAAGTAGTCAGATGCTCACTACTGCAGGTGAAGACACCCCGAATAAAGTCTCTGTGCCGGCAGCATGACTCAGCTGGTTGCCATGGATACACTGAACAGCGGCGCTTTCAGGGGGTCTCTGAAACGGAGGTCAGCACTTGGTAAACCTCTGGGCAAAGAAAGCACCTTCTTCCCTCAATTACACAGTACCTGAGCTCCTAGAAAAGTAGGTGCTCATTAAAACCACTGGAGGACACTGGGTGTGTACAGTGGAGTTGGGTTCTAGTTAAGACAGTTACGTTTTTCACCTGTGTTAATATCTGGCAGAATACATGAAAGTTACGGGGGACATGGCAAACCCTTTATTGTGGGTCATTTTCCTCTGCACTACAGGGCATCTTCTTCTTTTTTTTACAGGGCATCTTCTATCCTAGCCCTACCCACTGAAGGCAAGTGGTACCCTGCAATCACGTGACAACCAAAACAAAAAGTCTCACAAATTAGCAACACATTCCCTAAGGATGGAGACGCGCTGTCCTGGCTGAAATATGCCCTCAAATCCTCTGTTTTATCCCCACCTCCAGCAACACCATCTGCCCAGTTTGGCAACTCTGGAGAAAGGTAGAGGGCTTTCTTGAATAGGGTTAGGCCGGAACTAGTTTTTAATTTAAAGAACTGACTCATCTCCTCTGGAATCCCTCTCTTCTAAGTTTAACTAACCAAGTTGAGAGACCAAGGAGGTCTGTCATTAGTGGGCTTTGATTGATGCAAATCAGCTTTTATAACTGTAAGGTTTGGCTTCCCATAATTATTCACGTTTAACATCACTCATTGTTTTTGTTAAACTGGACTCACTTGAAGCAATTTGCTTTTGTTAAATACATAATGAGCAGCATAATACTGTAATTTGACTTGAGCCATAAAACACACTTTAATATTAGCTTGTATTATATTTATCTAGCTTGTTTTGAGGAAAAAGGAAACTGACTAAAACCTAAGTAAGTCTAGATTAAGCCAGTTAAGATGTAATTTGTATTTTAGTGTTGGATTGTGTTGGGAGACTAAAGTTGGGAAAATGTATCATGTTCTGTTAAGGGAAAGATTAGTACTTTAAAAACGTAAACTTTGGTTGCTGTGTTCGCATCATAGTATAGAAGCATCATTTATAGTTTGGCTTTGAGAATTACTCTGGCGTTAAGTTTATAGAAAAATGTATAAAAGAAACTGAAGTTTTGGTTATATTTCTAAAATTGTAAAGTTAAAGTTTGATTAAAATGGTCACTGCTCTTTTTTTAACTCTATTTTATTGTCTTTTCAATAAAAACATTAAAACAAACAAACAAACGAAAGTAAATACACATCCCCAGTCTATTCAAACTAGACCTCTGCCTCTCTGGACCTCTATTCAAACCTCTGCTTCTCTGAAGAGGCCTTGCCAGCAGACCTGCAGTAGAAGGCGGAGTGGCGGTGGGTTGCAGATGGAACACGGTACAGTCAAATGGCCAAAGAGCTGGCCACAGAGGACGGGACGTTCCAGGAAGCGAGGACTGTGAGCACCTGCCACAGCCCAGGAAGCCACTGCCACCTACCCTAATGTTGCCAAATGTTATGATTTTACTTTCAGAAAGACAGGAAATATTTCATTTTTGTATGCAATTTTTCAGTTCTTCTATGTTGGCTCACATATATGTATATGTGTATAGCTAGATGGATGGACATGTATTAATATTTAACACACGTGTGCACATACAGACACAGACAACTCTACTCATATAACAGCTCCTTAGAGTTAGACTCATAAATAATGACTTAGGTACCAACTAGGACCCTCCTTTGAATCAGAATGAGAACTATGAGCCAGGTATTTTACCCCACTGCAGCTAGGAGAGGAAGTGGGTTTTGGGAAGTTAAGTGATTTGTCTAGAGTCACACAACAGTAGCTGGACTGTTCTGCTCCTGATACCAGGCTGCTGCCCAGTTTATCAAGAAAACACAAGATGGTGAATATCATTCCGACAAAAACAAGCCACAGGAATAATTTCTGCTGAAAACAGCATTTACGCACCTATTTAAGTAAAGGTCAACACTTCTTAAAGCTTCTTGACCCATGTCCCCATGAGAAGCGTGAGGAGCTTTCCAGAGAAGGCAGAGGATCTGAATTTGCTGGTATCCGCAAGCGAGCTGGGTAAGCCGTTTGCTGCAGTAGCCTGCCATCCTTCAAAGCTACTGATAAGAATGACTGAATCCCGAGGGGCTGCTTGTGAAAAAATGTTAAAAGCTTTAATTGAAAGGATCTTCACATAGGCCACATGTAACTTTCTCATTGTGAATTCCTGTCTTGCCCCCAGACACCCTGGGGCACCAGCAAACATCAGGGCCAGGTCATTCTGATGTCCTTAAGACAGAGCCTCTGGCAGGGCCTTTGATGATGCTCAGCTTGGAGTCCTGTGCCGACCCCAACGGTGAGGGATGATGCACTTGGAGCAATGTCATCTGTCAGGGTCTAACCTCTCTTCTGTGAATGTCTGCAATTAAACCAGCCTTATGGAAAATGGGGACGTTTCATATTTTAAAATGTCTTGATTGGAATGTGCATATGATGAAAAAGATAAGCTTGGCTACCTCAAAAAGCACTTCTGTAAGAAAGCAGCAGGGATTCCATCAGAATCTTTCAATGAGCGCCAGGAAAATCCTGTGCCAGTTTTCTTTCCCTTGTTTGTGATTCATTCATTCATTGTCCTGACTCAGCTTAGGGTGTGACCCCAGGCTTCCATTGTAGCTCAGCTGGTAAAGAATCCACCTGCAATGTGGGAGACCTGGGTTCGATCCCTGGGTTGGGAAGATCCCCAGGTGAAGGGAAAGGCTACCCACTCCAGTATTCTGGCCTGGAGAATTCCATGGACCGTACAGTCCATGGGGTTGCATAGAGTCAGACATGACTGAGCGACTTTCACTTCACTTTCACTTTTTTCCAGGCTTACATTCTATTAAAATCAGTAAACATTTCCTCTTCCAGTTCTAACTCTGTGAAGGTATCCTTTTCCCACACCGCCAAAGGGCAGCATGAAGCAAAAGTTATTAAGAGTCCCTGAGTAAAATGTCCCATTCGGAAACTTTCCAAACACCAAATTAAAAACTCTGCCCCTTTAAAGAGGTTTTGTATTACATCCTTAATGCATGTTCATCAAAGACAAAGTAATGCGAGAAAAGATAAACAAAAAGTCTTGGTGATTCCACTTAAAGATGTGTGTGTTATTCAGAGTAAGTTATAGAAGACATCAGAACTAATGCAATGATCTCTTAATCTAAGAAAAGTTAGGTGAGAACTGGCCTTCATATTCACTGCATTCTTTTACTCTTACAGAGCCTGATACAAGATAACCATTCAGTTGCATAACCTCCCTATGAATAAAATTTCTTTTTTTGATAGATAAAACTGTTAAAATAGTTATCATTGGTATTTAGAATAATATATGATAGTTTAACAATTACCCACCAATATGTGTACTCTGAGCTGAAAATCCAAAGCAATTAGGACCGTTCTCTAAATGTATATTGCAAATCATGTCCCATTATGTGGAGCCCTTATGCTTATGAAGGGAGGCAAAGCATACAAATGTGGGAATGAGATGCAGGGAAGCACAAATTGTGTAAATGAAATCTAGACTGTTTCTGGGAACATAATTTCATGAATAAAGATGATCTAGCATCTCTGAACTAGGTATTTTAAGATTAATATTTCTCAATAGTTCTTGTCAATGTGAGTGGCAGTAGAATCCATAATAAGTATTTTATTGAATTATATTTAGTTTAAATATAAATGTAAAAAGGCACCATGAATTCTCATGTCAAATTATGTCACCCAAAAGTTAATCAGTTGTACCATGACTCAAAAAAAAAAAAAAAAGAATTCTTTTAATTTGGTAAAATATAGGCTTGTGTCTCTAAGAGCTCAATGATTTTTAATTAATAAAATTTATTTTTAGAGCAGTTTTAGGTTCACAGCAAAATTGAGCAGACAGTACAGAGTTTCCATACACTCCCTAGCCCCACACATGCACAACCTCCCCACCAACCACATCCCAAACCACAGTGTTACGTTCGCTGCCATCAGTGAACCTGCACTGAAACATCACTTCACCTTAAATCCATAGTCTGCATGAGGGTTCACTTGTGATGGTATATTCTATGGGCTTTGACACATTTTATGACATGTATCTAATTCCACCACTGTAATATCATACAGAATAGTTTTACGCCCCTAAAAATCCTCTGTGCTCTTCCTATCATCTCTCCCTTCCTCACAACCCCTGAAAACCACTCACTTTTTTCTTATATTGTCTCCATAGTTTTACCTTTCCCTAAAAATCAGCTCATTGAAATCATACAGTATAAAGCCTTTTCAGATCAGCTTCTTTCATGGAGCAGTGCTTGTTTCCTCTGTGTTGTTTCATGACTTGATAGCTTGTTTCATTTCAGCACTGAATAATACTCCATAATCTGAATGTACCACAGTTTTGTATCCATTCACCTACTGAAAGACATCTTGGCTGCTTCCAAGTTTGGGCAGTTATGAATAAAGCTGCCACACACATCTGTGCACACAAGTTTTTAATTCATTTGAGTAAACACCAAGTCCCTTACATACCAGATTAGAAATTGAAAGGCATTATTTTTTGAAGTTCTAGAAAACTGAAATGCTATGGTCAAAAGTTCAGTTGGTTATATTGTTTAGCCTCCTCATCTCAAACTGAAATTGAAACAGACAAGCCCACTTTGGGGGACACTTTTTTCTTTCCTTTTCTGAGCTTTTCAGCATTCAGTATTTTTTATCAGGCAAGGCAAGAAAATACCCTTTTTCCTTTGGTTTCTTGAATCAAGAATCTACTTAACTATTTTAACAGATCAGTTTTCAAGTAAAAACCAGAAAGGAATCAGGAAGTTGTATTTCTACATTCCCATTTATCATGTCCTTTTATGTGTGTTTCAAATCCAAGTCCATCAAACCAGAATGTGAAATCACATTGAAAAAACTACATTAATCTCTGTTCCTGCTCTCTGAGAAATAAACTTGGAAGATAAAAACCTAACCTGCTGAGACTCAAATGATAGATTTTGTACCAATGGGTGATGCCAGTGAGAGGGGGTGCCAATGAGTGGTAAGTACACTGATGATGTCGGTCAATATACTCACCAACCTCACTGTAACTATTTGTTTGTTGCCTGTCATTTCTGTGAGACTGTCAGCTCCCCCAAGAGCAGGGACAAGGCCTGACTGATTACTCTGGCGCATAGTCAGTATTTCACCATGTGTTAGCTGAATGTATCATTGGTTCATTAGATATGTCTTATGTTAATTAACCTCATTTATTTAACAGTAAGCAAGCACCTCCCAGGTACAAGGCTGCGTGTTAGGTATTTTGGGTGTATAAAGATGAGTGCAATTCATACCCTGCCTTCCAAAAGCTTACACATCTGTCAATCACTGTAGCAGGCTGCCCTTGCCAAGACCATGCCCCCTTGGCCTCCCCCCTCTTCCACTCTGGAGAGCTCCCCCAGGAGTTACGGCGTCTCCCACATAAAGGCATTCTGTGACCGTGGAGCAGCTCAGCACCCGGGCACTGTCGGAGGAGTACCACCCCTAGGACCGTTTCCACCCAGTGGGGGGCAGCCCCTTGCCCTTCAGTAGGAAACGTTTTGAGCCCACGGCACTCGGCCACTCAGGAGGTCCCCAACGGAACTGAGCCCAGATGCCCACAGCAGTGACCTGCTCATTAAACACCTTTTATTAGCTTTTCTCCTTTTTGGTCCCACTTCCTGCTCTTCTCACAGTGCTTCCTAAGATCTCTTCCCAAATAAACTATTCTCCCTAAATCCATTACTCTAGGTCTGATTTTAAAAGAAGTACGGACACTGGAATGTGCCAACTACTAGAGGCATGAACAGAGAGCAGTGGGAACGCAGAGGAGGAGGGGATTTAAGCCTAGCTGGGAGAAGACTTGGCATCATTTGAATGGGGTCTGGGTGGGGGTAGTGAGTGCACCTGTGGGAAGAGATGCTTCAGGTGGAGCAAACAAGGGCATGGTGCTACTGAAGAACACAGACCTCTCATGGAATTGCAGGCAATTGAGTCCAGAGGGAATGTGGGCAGAAAAGTATCTCAGGCTTTCCCAGAAAGTACTCTGGAGGCCCTCACATTCCAAAAAGGAGGCTGTTCTCTCTTGCCCCTTTCATTCTAAACTGCAGCTCCAGTTCCTTACTGTTTTCACCCTGGTACTTTGAAAAGTCCCAAACATTCTCCTTTTCGTAGGAATCTGAATATAGAAACAAACATAGCTACCCATTGTCTATAAAAGCAGCCATAAGGTCACCACTCTTTAAGCATGGCACTTTCTTTCTGCCTGTAGATTTGAATTCATGTTTTCTGAGTTCCCATGACAAGTTGAACATTAATGTTTTGTTCTTTCTGAGAGCTTACAGTCTAAACAGTGTCCGTGCCTCAACCCAGACAGGGAACTTTCCTGCCTCTGTTAGAGGATAACCTTAAATTTTAAAACAGACAAAAAAAGGAAGAGTATGCCACAGAGTCAAGGAATATAACCCAAACCAACTATGTCTTGAAATCCCCTCTATTACTTCCCAAGCAAGCATAATGCAGATGGATGGTCCTGCTCATTCTTTCTCTGGGTCCTATAAGTGGTTTCTCGCAAATGAAATGTTCTGACAAGTCATTCCATCTCCAGTGCTGACTCAATTATAGCTTCTTACCATGATCAACAACTGCTAAATTGGTTATAAACCCAATTTAAACCCAGAATGGGAGCTGAAAACCAAAAAACAGAGGTGTGCCAAGAGGACAGAAGCAGAATCATTTTTCCAGCAGAGGAAAGCTAGTTTAGGAAAGACAAAATGAGTTCTTCAGGAACAGGTATACAATATTGGAAAATAACAGAGAGATTCAAGAAGTTATTAAAGCTCGCAAGAGAATCTGGGGAGAGAACACTACTCATTTCAGCTCAGCAGGAGCCAGTTTGCATTATTATGTTTTGTTCTATACTTAGCTTTGAAGAAAGCCACAAATTACAATGGTTAAATAGAGCTTTAGAAAATGGAAAATAGCAACATTGCAAGTACAGAAAGTATTGGGGTAGTAGAACATCCTCCACTTCAGGAATGGATCTAGAGAACTGAAATTCCTCTTTTGCTCTCCCACCCTCAAGAAGTTTAGCCATGTGTCTTTTATGAATCACCATTACTATAATATTGCCTGTGTATTAATAATAAATACAGCTTTGTTTTTAAAACAAAAGGATCAACCAGAGGTTGGGAGAGAAAGAAACCTGCTAGAGTACTTCAAACAGGTTAAGTACTTGGGGGAAGATACCAATTTAATACCTACCTACATTGAGAAGTGAATGATGAAAAACACATTTTTGACCTTTGCACATTTAAGGCACTCCCC